AATCTTCCAACTGAATCATAGCTAAGGTTTATCCAAAAAAGGCGCTAGGTTTGTCAGTATGAGTATTCTATGGGAAAAAGCCGCTAAAAGGGTCTGAAAGTTGCTAAAGTCGCTTGTGTGTGTGTGTGAGACGCGGGAGCTGATGGCAGGGGCGCTGGATATTTGTGGAGGTCAATGTGGATATTGTGGATGAGTTCTTCTGTGTCATCACGTTCTATTAGTTCTACAGCTTCAGTTTCTGAACTTTCACGCTTAGTAACACATACAGCTGTGCCCTCACCACAGTGCAACAGTGAAAAGGGACCCCTCTCAAACAGTGTCGCATTCCGAACGTTGTTTAAGCGATATACACCGGTATTGCGGTATTTTAAAAATTCATATCATATCAAAAATAAACACCGTATTCGGTATGAACCGGTATACCGCCCAGCACTAGGAAAATCTTGAGGGAAGCGGTGGAGAATTAGTCTTTATTAGTCAGGTTTTGTCATCACAACTAAACCAAACTGAAATAAAATGTGTACCTTGAGCTGAGATTGATTCAGATGATTTTTAATTTTATATATATATAAAAGGAGCTCATTAATTAAACACAATTTGGGATTCACGACCACAATTTTTTGTGTCATGTCATTAGTTGTGTCTTACTTTGTTTAATAATTATTACACAAATACTATTATAAAACTACATTTCATGATAATTTATTTTACTTTATAATTTACTATTAATTTATTCTTCATTATTGTCTATTCTGTATTATTCCACCCTTGATATTACATATTCTACTTGCTATTATTCATCTATTGTTATTTATTTATTATGATATTATACATATAATTTGTGCTATTATAAATCTATTATATACTGTTGTACTCGCTTTTTATATTATTCACTTTACTACAACTTGTACTACATATACTTTTTAATATTACATATCACTTTTACTATTTTTTTTTTACTGTGCACTGTGTCAGTGCATAATATTTTACCACTGCAAGTTTTACTGGATCCATAAAGGATTATCAGTTGCATTTGTTATTGTTTGTTGTGGAATTTATCTGTATAGAGCAGTGGTGTAGTCTATTTTTTTGTAGTGGGTATACTCTGATATTCCCTCCCAGCCTCATACTCACCGTCCCACACATACGTACGCAACCCAGGCAACGATTAGTTCTGTGAGTGAAACAAAGCAAAACCAATGTTACACCATGTCTACACCGGACGCGAGTGGCACGGCATAACAAAATACAATAGAACTCATTATAATCAGTGATGCTGTCTACACCATAGATATGCACAGGACGGCTAATGTCCGTCCTGTGCACAGAACGCTCTCTCCTCCACTTCATGAGTAGACACGCCCCTTACTGCTGATTGGCTATGTTAATAAATAACAATTTGGTCCCTCGATATCTCTTTGCCACCGTGAAATCTTCTCAGTCTTTAGCAAGTGTAAATACGGCCGGGAAGTAAGAAAACACACAGTCTGTGTATTCTCAATACTTCAATTTATTAATAGAAATACAGATCTTATATAGGCCTGTCGAGGGGAGTTTTACCCTCTTAACCAATGAGGATAGGGGGACATACCCATACAGGATGTTTTTCCCAAGAACATGTGTTTTGTATAAAATCGCCACATATACAGAAAAACATATCCATATAAGGAATAGACTTCCTGGCGACGGAGGCTGAACCCCCCTCACAAATCAGCACAAACTCCTTTACCTCGAATATGAGTAAGAGACATTCAAACACCATACAAGAGAGAGAGAGAACAGATAGAGGAGGGGTGATTCAGAGAAGGAGAGAGAAAGAGTGAGAAAGGAGGGGGGAGGCATTCTCAAAACAGAGAGTGTTTTCTAACAATTCCCTAGCCTGACTTTCAGTCCACAAGGTTGGTCAGGAGTTCTCATCTCTCCCATCATCTGAAACAAGAAGATATAAACATTGTATTCGGTTTAACTGCTGTAGACACATGCACATTATGTGTGTTATCTCTGCCCTTCTCTCGCATTCACTGATCCACCACACTAACATTACTTAAGTTATTATGTTGGCTTGAGAATGTTGGCTGTTATACTATTTAAACGTTAAATAGTTGATAAGACTTAAAGTTTTCTATAAATAATTATCAAAAATCAAAGATTTCCCATAGACTTGTGTAACCCTATCTAAAAATCCTATGGCTATGAGTAATAGGGTTAAAACATTTATTTTATTCTATTGTTTGTTTATCATTTGTTTGTGCATTGTCCATTCATTTCTAATTGGGGGATGATGTTTTAAAAGCTTTCTATACTGGTACGTTTCTACATAGGTATGTTTCATTACGTAATTTAGTTTATATCTTCTCCATAACCATGGAAAAGACGGTTTTCTGACGTCAAAATCGACATCCTTACCCCTGACATGGCCATAATGGTGGACAAGGGCTTCTTAATTGATAACCTGGTACCATGCAAAATCCACAGGCCTGCTTTTGTGACTAAGGGCACACAAATGTCTGCCGGAGAGGTGAGACACACTGAGTCTGTGGCCAGGCTCAGGGTGCATGTTGAACGCCTGATCCGGTGGGTGAAGGAACATAAGTTGTTTGACGCAGTCATCCCCTTGTCCATTTCTGGTAGCATTAATCAACTGTTTGCCGTGTCATGTCTTCTCATTAACTATCAGAATGGACCACTTGTCAAGGCATGGGCCCAGTGAGTCTACACAGTGTCATTCTTGTCTGTGTACTAAGTCTTTTAAAGTCTTTATTTGGCACATTGAAATGTTGTAAATATACTGTTGTAAATATGGTCTGGAAACTGTCTAATTTTCTTACTATGATTGCCTAATAGATTTTTTTCGCTTGTTGCTTTTGTCTCATCTGGGATGTTTTTTGATTTGCCACATATAATTCTGTTAACTATTAGAATGGACCACTTGTCAAGGCATGGTTTGAAATATTGTAAATATTTTCTGCACACTGTCTAATTTTCTTACTATGATGGCCTGATGGTTTTTTTTTGCTTGCCTTTTGACTTACCACATATAGTTCGTACCAACATTCTTCTTGACCAGTTGGTTCATTAAAAAAAGATCTTTACCATCCAACTTTTGACCTCCTTCCTTTGTTAGAGCAGCCATAGTTAAACCTGCAATTGCAACACAGTTCTAATTCTGTCAATCTTCTGCCACCTGCTCAAATCTTACAACTATGGTGAAAGACAAGACTAAGATACAGTATTTTCAAATGTCTTTTCTATTTATTTGAATGTTGAGTAATAAGTTATATTTATGAATTACATTTATTATGATAGTTACCTACAACATTCCTTCGCAATTATTAAAGCAAGCAAATAAATAAATACGTACACAAAATCCCTTTCAGAGCCCATCAACAGTAACTTGATGGTCCATGGGCACTTTAAGAAAAGCTGTACTATTGTATGCTAGTCTAGATTGACAGTTATGTAACAGTATAAAAATATCTGATCAGTTATAACAACAGATCAGTTATAATACTGTATAGACTCGCAAAAATGAACAATAGATCAGTTCAGATATTGTATAGATTTGTAAAAATGAACAATAACACGAACTCACTGAACTGATTGAAACTGATTAATGAACTGATTGAAACTGATTAACTTCCTGTTTGTTGCTGCCATGTGTTTTGAGTTTGAGCTCCGTCAAGTTAATTCTTTATCGTCTGCTTTTTATCTTAAAATCAATTTTATGCACCATAATTTTCGTTTCTATAATGTGTGAATATATCCCCGACCGTATTCTACAACAAAAACAATCAGAGCGCCTTGTTATCACTAGTTTTATTTTGATTTCCCGAGTCCGCTATTAGCAAATAGCCCGCTAATCTCGCTAACGTTGCTAATAGGGGAAGTCGTGGCCTAATGGTTAGAGAGTCGGACTCATAACCCAAAGGTTGTGGGTTCGAGTCTTGTACCGGCAGGGATTGTAGGTGGGTGGGAGTGAATGTACAGCGCTCTCTCCCACCTTCAATACCACGACTGAGGTGCCCTTGAGCAAGGCACCGAACCCCCAACTGCTCCCCGGGCGCCGCAGCATAAATGGCTGCCCACTGCTCCGGGAAAAAATGATCTGCTCTGTCTCTAATGGTGTGCATTACATCAAGATCTTTATAAATTCGCTCGACTAACATGTCTTCCTGAGCACAAACAACAAAATCACACCACTCTAGCCCTGTCAAGAGCATCTGACCTTGAACTTGCCAGTAGTACTTGTGCTGCCTCCTGAGTTTCAAAGCACCACCGGACATTTTTAGATAGGGGCAGTCCACATAGCTCTGGATATTGGGGCATTTGACCTCAAGGAGACCAAACGGTGGGTTCTCAGAGGGATCAAAGATGAGTCCATCAGGAGAGCTACCTAGCCATGGAGCATCAGTATGTACAATGAACCCGCAGGGTGAACAGTTCACGTTTTTAAGAGTGCAATACTCTTTAACAGCGAGTGGCTCCATATCAATACCTCTCCTCATGTCCATGATCTGACCAATCCCCTTGAGAATTCTCTCAGCCAGATTCTCTGCAGATGTATGTCCAACGAACATGGCATACCTCGTGGAAGCGAGTAGATGTCACTCTCATCTTTCTCAAACGATGCCACTCCTGGCACGAACTCTGCCCTGTTGCAGCTTCTATCCTGTAGGCCATGTTGAATGACACCTCCAGAGACTTCAGGTGCAGATGTTCCTGCTCTGATAGAACATAGGCACAGGATGGTGGTTCAAGCCTGTAGCTGTGGATGGGAAGGGAGGGTGAGTCAGGGGCAGATGGGATGTTGATGACTTCCCTCATTGCTGGTGGTTTATGCTGAAATGACAGCACGCTCCCTGCCTGGACAGCTCCAAAAGCAGACTGGAGTAATGGGACATCAGCTGACATGCCCATTGTTGTTACCAAGGGTGCAAGTGAAGGGGGAAAGTCTTTGTACACCCCTGATACTCTCAACATGGCAAGATCCCGCAGTTCCCCATCTAGCGCCTTGTAGAGAGAACTTCTGAAAAATATTACCAGTAAAAAAAATAGTATTAAAGTAAAAATCACTACACCAAATTTCTGCCACAACATACATAAAACCACACTGAGATACGAAGTAAAGATAATCTCACTTTACACAGTCTGTTGTTGAATTTCTGGGTTTTCGAAACTCTATTTCTCCAACTGGGCCTGGCCTAACACCCTAACATCAGAGACACATTCAACATGGCACCACAATAGCTACAATATGCACAGTAATAGTACAGTTCACATGTTACATGACTTACCAGTGTCCTTGGTTTATGCCAGATCTGCTCGGTGTCTGTGCAGCTGTGCACCGGGGGAACAGCAGGAATGTTTAGCTGCGAATAATGGGCAGTCTGATAAAGAAGTGCAACCAAATGATTGCATAAGGCACAGCCCGCCACACAGGAACAATGGCTGCTCACCAAAACAACAGATTTTGAGTGCTTTAACAGCATCTAGGGAGAAATAGAAGCTTAGATGAGATATTGCTTGACAGATAAAGCATTAACAAGAAAAATAATGCTGTATTCTGAGGCTCACAGACAAAATATGAAAATTAATTAATGTTTAACAATATGATACAGGCCTATTTTGCTTGGATAATGTTACTTTTATTAAGCTGACAGTCAATTTATCAGCTTGCCTAACCATTGCCCTAACAATAACCCTACTCTCAAGTCGTGTGGCTTTTCACTTTTCTTCATGAAAGACCTCTCCTGTCACCTTGTCAGTGACACTGTGAGGAAGGACGACGAACACACAATTTGAGACTGTAACGTTACATTTTTACACAGTATCTTGACAGTATCTCACACAAACTCACAATCGAAAGTTAGCTGACAAGTCAGTCAGTCATAGTCGAACAAAACAGCTAACTTTAACGTTAACCATCTAATCGTTCAGTTAACATTAACGCTAACGTTAGCTGCTACAACAACATTTCAACGTAACGACTTACCCTCGTAATTATCGATGTAGCTGGCGATATACATCATAAATCCCTTTTCCCGTTTGCTGGAGGGAGTGGGGCATGACTACTTGACAAGTCGGTCCACATCATTGATAGTCAGACGAGGTAGGTCTTGAAGACAGCGAGTGTAAAAGAGAGCCATGTTTGCCTGTTGTCGGTCTGTCTGTCAGTCAAGTGAACTAGAATTTCGCGGTCAGTGTAACAGGAAGTTTCTCAGCCGGTATAAGCCAATCCGGAACTGTGACGTGCATTGAGCGCATTACAGTATGTATGCACCGGTGTCAGACATTCCCAAGGAGATAATTAGTCATTTTTGGCGAACAGGTGAAATATCTGAGAGAGCAAGACAAAAGGGACTGCAGAATGCATTCGAGGGATATATCCACGACATAATATGCAACCGATTAGAGAATAATTTCATCAATTTAAGCTAAAGCCTATAGGTCCCAGCGCAAGCAGCAGCCGCCTCATACGCTGACCATTCAAATGGGAAACACACAAATTGAGGAACAGCTATGTTCATGCACAGCAGGGTAAGTGCAATTTGAAAATAATCTAATAATTATAAATCAAACAGTTTATCCATAAGTCTTGTGGAATAAACACAAGACATTAGCCTGACCACTTTGCAATGATAACATTCCAATCTCAAACACCACAAGCACTAACAAATCAGGCAACCAGCTTGACTTAATTTACACATGCAATTGTATCACAGACAACCAGACAACAAACCTCTAGACATCTCTGCTCATTTCTTTATTACATTTAACCTGCATATTACTACCTGTGTGCTATCAATTCCTCTACCAGTTACTTTTAGGCAAAACCTACGCTCCCTTTCATCCTTCCATCTTTCCTCTGTAGTGTCGTCCTCTCTTCCCTCACCGACCCATTTCTTATCTCTGGATGTAAATACAGCAACTGACACTTTATGATCTACTTTAACTTCTTGTCAAGACCATAGACTGTAAAAAAAGATGGATGACGCACCTTCAATCTCTTCCATTGAAGGAAATTGAAGCCGCCATTGTCCCAACAGGGCGCGGCCATATTGTGCTGATTTGGGACCGGAGTCTGCGCAGTAGCAAGCGAAGTGGAGCCGCGTCCCGCCCACACTCCCGCAGAGTCGATT